ATATATATATATATATATATATATATATATATATATATATATATATGGATCTTTGGTTGTTCGGGTTTTCTCCTTCTCAGTCTGAGAAGCAAGAGCCGAAGACAGAAGCCTGAAGATGATGAATGAGACTTCATCGAAACGTTGCCTAGATACTTCGAATCTTACGCGGGAGAAAACCCGAACAACCAAAGATCCACATACAAATACCCGCGAGAACCTCAGAAAATATCGAAGCTTCTATCCCAAATTAACAAATTGTCCCAGAGGAGAATCCAGAGCTAACACGCCCACTTTTATTCCCTGAGGGGCGTGTCAGTCTCTCATCTCACTCCCTGATTTGTCCTTTCCTTCTACGTTGGATCTCACGCCTATGCCTGCGTTTTTGCCTCGCATCAAACCAACATTTCTCAGTTTGATCTCAGCCAGAGGCTCCGCTACGCTGTCCTGATTATCTGCTGACACCTGAGGCACAACCAGGGAGGAAGGTCCTGGGGAGGAAGGCAATTCTTTTTTTCCACTGTTCCTTTTTGTTCTTTTTTCTCCTTCACATTTATGTACGTGTTGTTTGTCTGTTTTAATTGTAAAATTAATAAAGTTTATTTTTTAAAAAAACATAAAAATCAGAAAAAGAATAAAAATGTTTAAAAATATAAAAGTAATCCACCAATAACATTAAAAGGGGAACAGAAAAACCAAAAAGAAAAAAGTTTGTATTCCAATGCTAGAGCCAAAACCAAATTAAAGGCTTAGAAAAAGACCAGAAAAATCAGGCCCAGAATGTCCATCAGCTAAAGTGGAGTGAAAAAATAAATAAATTGAAGTTTAAAAATATGTCACAAAGTAAGTCATTGCCACAAAACAGTGAGTAAATCATTGCCAAAGTCACAGTGAGTTCTTTCTTTCAACTTCAATCTCCAGCTGTTTTTTTTATTTTACAAGAGTTGCACCTGCATAAACATTTCTTCGGTGCTCAACTCTCTCTCAGATCTGTGGCTAGAAAAATTTTCTCACAGTTCATTCCTTCAGTTCCATCAAAAGGATTTTTAAACCCTCTGGGTGGCAGTGTTGCTTTACTTTCACTCCTTAATGTAACCACTCCTTAATGTTAACACTCCTTAATGTAACCTTAATGTTACATTCACAACCAGTGTAACCAAGACAGGAAAAAAATTCTAATGCAAAAAATTCCCTTTCAAAGAGAAAAAAGAAAACTAACGAAGTATCCAATTTCGCCTTTTAAAATAAATATTAGTATTTATCTTTTATTAATTGTAATTAAAAAGTCCAGTCCAGTTAAAAAAATCATTTTTAAAATGTGATAATAATAAAAAATTTCTCTAATTAGTTTGACAAAAGGTTTACTTTCACTGCTGTTCCCTCTTCAGTCTTTTATATTCTTAAATTCTTTCCCCCCTTAGGGTGCTCTCTTGTCAAAAAGAAAAAAGTTAAAATCTCGCCCAAAGCCGACACACTTTCTTTCTTCTTCTTCCGTTCTGGAGCTGTCCCAACCTTTCAACAGCTTCAATGGCCGCTTTCCTCCACAGCCAAATTGGACAGCTTTCCTGGATCATCCAGAGGCTGGAATTTACAGGATGCGCTGTCCTCGATCGCCATCTCAATGGGATGGTTTAGGTCCAAATGGACCATCCAGCTGCGGGAATATCAGCGCCGGTCCCGGAGCCCCGAAATCATTCATCGTACCATCACGACGTCAGCCCTGCCCCCTGAAATATAAATGAGAGTTTTCAAGTCGACATGGTTGTATTTACAAACTGAATTTGGAGTGGGAAGACAGGGTTGAGAGAAATTAAAGGGCTACTTTGATATTTATGTTTTTGTTTTTTTTTAAAAAAGGCATCAGCATGCAAAAAGTAAAGGATCATTACATATTAAGACTGTAGCTAAAGTGTTGATTTTTTTGTTTTGCTTTTTTACACAACTAACTTTCCATTTCCATTTGCTTTTAGAACCCTAGGCTATAAAAAGAAATATGTGAAAATTCCACATGGACATATATGGGTAGAAGGCGATCATCATGGGCACAGCTTTGACAGCAACGCTTTTGGTCCGGTAAGAACAGAATTATTGTACAAAACACTAAGTTCACGTCATACAATATATAATATTTTATTATGGTATAACAATATTATCTACAATAATTAAAAAGGGCGCACCATTTAAGTTTCTTTATGAGCATTAAGAAAGATTGCTAGGAGCAGCTTCTCCCATCAGAGAATTGCAGGAAACTTGTTATAACTGATATTTAAAAGGAAAGACAAAACCTTCTTTGATTTGAGTGTGATTGATAACTTCCTCTTCCAAAGGAACATTTGCAATAATCACAGCTTCCCTTACATTTGGCCAAGCTACTGACCCTACTTCCTTCCATTCGGCTATAACTAGTGCCTTGGGAAATTGTTTATTCCTATTATGACTTCACATTTATTTAGTGCCAACTGTGAACTAAGGGCTAAATAGGAAAGCCAAGAGATTTTTATAAAGCATAATAGACAACCGTTTCTGGAATAGAGGGAAGAGAGTGGCAGTGTTAAATGAAGATGAAAGCACTGAATGATGTAGAAGAAGAACACACGATGCAGTGAAGAACTTTCTTAGAAGAGAAGTGGATCTTCACAATTTCTTTTCAACCATCTATTGAACTGAAAAAACAATGACAAAAAGGTGAAATGAACATTAGAGAGAGGTAATGGTACTGGGAGGGAAACAAGAAACAAAAGGAGAACAAAATTTGATAAGAAGTGAAGGGCAAAAAGTAACCTAACAAGGGTGGAAAGAAACAAAGGCTTCCCTAAAGGGCATTTCAAAGAGGGTTATAAACCATTGGATAAATATTACTGTCTAAGTTACATCTAATCTTCATGCTAATCTTCAAAAGCATCATGGATTCTTTAACAGATTTATTTTAACACAGAACCCTGAGAAGAATATTCAGAAAAGTGGACTCCTATTAAACGGCTGCAACCTAACTACTGGAGTAAAAAGTTAATATTTTAAAATATAATAAAAGTGAATATTCTAAAAATGGAAGGAAGTGATGAAAGAAAACAGCAAATTTGTTAAAAATATAGAAGCTGGATTTTGAGATTGGATAAACACTGGCTTTGGATAGACATTTATAAGAATGCTGAATTCTCCCATGAGCTGTTCAGAGCATCCGGTAGCAGGAGGTGCTTCAGTCTCTGCATGTCTAGGCTGGGCTTAATTTGTGGAACGCTCCTCCTCCTCCTCCACAGGACTCCTCCCCAGCGTTCCCCAGTTTTGGCTCAGCCTTGTTGTGGATAGGCAGTGCTTTTTGTTCTTCCTTGGCCAAAACAGGAGTATTACTCAGCAGGTTTGGATATAGTCCAGTTTGTTTTTTCAGGCTTTTAGCCTCCAAATCACATTAAGATCTCCCAACATTAGCTCTCTCCATCTGGTCGTCGGAGATCATTTGCATTTTCGGGCAGCACTGTTTCGCACCCCGAAGCGGCGGGCGGCTTCGGCACTGATCCGAGCTCCCCACCTGCTTGTTTTACCCCCTGCCATTGTGATTCCGCATTGCCTTTCTCTACATCGGCAATAGCGGCGTGGGCGTTTTCGCTCTCATCCAAGTGATATTGTTTGATTTTTCCCCTCAGAACACCATCTTGGTGTGGAAAGCAGTAAGCTTAATTCTTTCCACCCCTTTCCCAGCTGTTTCTTTTAGCCACAAGGAGAAGCCGTTGGAGGCATTTCCCCATGCGGCAGGAGTTAGTTGCTGGGAAGCGCGTGGCAAAAGTAATGGCCATTGTTTTTGCCTTTGTTTTAAAAGCTGCGTGGCTGCGCTATTCGTAACTTGAGCTGTGTGAGGTAGTTTTCTTTCCCGATCAGAGGTTTTTCTTCTGATAACCTAAGGAATTATTACACCTCGTTTTCTTATTAAATTCGAAGCCATCCATGCATTATTGTTGGCTTAACCCTCAAAGCCTTACCCACCCAGCGGCACAACAGCGAGGACCCAGGCCCATGTCCCCCTGTGCAGGAAAGCTGTTGAAGGCCTCTCTTTATTATCTTGGCCTTTTCAGGCGTTCTTAATTTGGCTGTTTGGATATTCACTATATCAAGCTGTTTTTCTATTAATTTTTATATATATATATATTGGTGACTATCATTCACTCCAATAATAATAATATTAATAATATTAATATTGTGAAAAGATTCAATATTCTAGGCTCAAAGTGTCCCACTCTAATCAGCTAATTAAGCCATAACACCTGCAAAGGGTTCCTGAGCCTTTAAATGGTCTCTCAGTCTGGTTCAGTAGGAATCACAATCATGGGAAAGACCGCTGACCTGACAGTTGTGCAGAAAACCATCACTGACACCCTCCATAAGGAGGGAAAGCCCCAAAGGTAATTGCAAAAGAAGTTGGATGTTCCCAAAGTGCTGTATCAAAGCACATTAATAGAAAGTTATGTGGAAGGGAAAAGTGTAGAAGAAAAAGGTGCACAAGCAGCAGGGATGACCACAGCTGGAGAGGATTGTCAGGAAAAGGCCACTGAAAAGTGATGGGGACTTTCACAAGGAGTGGACTGAAGCTGGAGTCAGTGCATCAAGAGACACCACACACAGACAGATCCTGGACATGGGCTTCAAATGTCGTATTCCTCTTGTCAAGCCACTCTTGAACAACAAACAATGTCAGAAGAGTCTTACCTGGGCTAAAAAAACCCAGAATTGGTCTGTTGCTCAGTGGTCCAAAGATCTCTTTTTTGATGAGAGCAACTTTTGGATCTTATTTGGAAACCAAGGACACAGAGTCTGGAGGAAGAATGGAGAGGCACATACTGCAAGATGCTTGAAGTCCAGTGTGAAGTTTCCAGTCTGTGTTGATTTGGGGAGCCATGTCATCTGCTGGTGTTGGTCCACTGTGCTTCATTAAGTCCAGGGTCAATGCAGCCATCTACCAGGAGATTTTGGAGTACTTCATGCTTACTTCCTCAGATGAGCTTTATGGGGATGCTGACTTCATTTTCCAGCAGGACTTGGCACCTGCCCACACTGCCAAAAGCACCAAAACCTGGTTCAATGACCATGGGATTACTGTGCTTGATTGGTGTTATGATATGTACAGAATAACCCTTGAGTAACAAGGATATGCACATGGAAACATTTATGGGAATAGTTATTAATAATTATCCAGCCAGGAAAAGCTTCCTGAACTGGCGGCAGAGGAAAGCGGCCATTAAAGCTGCTGAAAAGTTGGGACAGCTCCGGAATGAAAGGGAAAGCAGAAGGAAAGTGTGTCGGAATTGGGTGATATTTTTTAAAAAAATTCACTGAAGATTCAAGGGCATCCTAAGGAGAAAGGAATTCTAAGAAGATTGAAGACAGAAGAGGAAGTTAGTGGTGGGAAAGCATGTTTATGACTGTCAGATTCAAGTAGAGCTATTTTACTTTGTGTTTTAACAGAAAGATCATTTTTTTTCACCTCTTGGAGCATTCTAGAATTGGGAATCTGTATGCATTACTGGCACAACAAAATAAAAGAAGTGTAGTCTTATATATTAAGAACACAATAACATGGACAGGACCGCGCCCCACTCATCATCAACAAAGAACGAGTGGAAACTGTCCCTATGATCAGATTTCTTGGCATCCATATTTCAGCTGATATCTCCTGGTCCCCTAACCCCAAGGCCATAGTGAAGAAGGCTCAGCAATGGCTGCACTTCCTGCGGGTTTTCAGGAAAAACAATCTGGATAAGAAGCTGTTGCTGGCTTTCTATAAAGCCTCTGTGGAGAGCATTCTGACATACTGTCTGGGTGTGTGGTATGCAGGTTCCTCAGCTGAGGACAGGAAAACTGTACAGAGGGTGATAAACACAGGTCAAAAGATCCTTGGTTGCCCTCTGCCCTCCCTGGAAGACTTAGCCAGGTCCCGCTGCCAAAGCAGAATCATGGCCATCGTAGAAGACTCCTCACACCCTGACAATTATTTTTTGACTTGCTGCCGCCCGGACGGCGCTTTAAGTCAATAAAATCCCACACCACTAGACTAACAAATAGTTTCTTTCCCTGGGCCATCCGAACCACAAATAAACACAAAGTCACTACCTTATTAACATGTGAGAAGATATGAAATCGCAATACCTCATTCAGATGCATAATAACATATTACAGTACAATCCATCTCCTGTGTATTACACTCGGCAAAGCATCACAGTCAGTGTAGGATGTATATTTTGTATATATTCATAGATATTGTACTCTCTAATTGAAAATGGAGACATGGATACTCTATTTTTCTTATCTTCATTTTTAAGTGCTCTGGTTTTATTGTAATTGTGAACAATTGCTGGGGTACTTTATTGTACAATGACAATAAAGTTCTTCTTTTTCTCCTTTTTTTCTTTCATCTCCCTCTCTTTCTCTCTCTCTCACCCAGTTCTCTGGCTACACACACTGTTACCTGGAGATGAACTGAGGGGGGAGAAGGGTGAAGCCTTCTGTAGCCCTCCCCACACGGCTCCTGAACTGACACCTGTGACAGGGAGACCGAGAGCAGGAAGCCGAGCTTTGGATTGCACTGGGCATTAAAAGTACCCAGCAGCGGATTGCAGACAGTCTCGGCTGGCTGGGAAGGGGGATGCTCCTCCTGTCTCTCCAATTTTTCCCCCAGCCGATTCCTCCTCGTTTTTCCCCTTGGCTGCAGGGCTAGTCAACCGCCACGAGAATGAGGCTCCTCCTGTATGCAGAGAAGAGGTGTTAAAAGACAAGATGGGAGGGTAGAAGGGGCTTTCGCGGGGTAAAGGGGATCAAATTGCTACCTTTCTCCATGCTCAAGGGGAGCCGCTTCAGGTGACCATGGCTTTTTCTCCTGCTTAGAGATAGAAGTCTCGCTGATCGGGATTTTTTTTTGGGGGGGGGGTTCTTGGAGCTAAGTGAAATGAGAGCTTGAAACGAGACACGGGGGCGACCGGGCAGGCAGGAGCAGGGCCAAGTAGGGCAGGGGTGATTTTTTTTCCTGCAGTCTCCCTAGCAGACCCGCGTCATGGCTGCTGCCTCCATGCATCGAGCAGGCTGAGCAGCAGCAGGAAGAGTGTGGAACTCCTGAGCTGCAGGAAGCGGCTGCCAGCAATGCCCAAAGATGCCAAAGATGTTGCAAGGGGAGGTTCAACCCCTCCCCCTCAGTAGCCACAAAGCACTTGCCGGCCCTCACCAAGCCTCCTCCTTCCCGCTGGGCATGTGAGCATTTCTGGCGAGGAGAAAGAGAAGCGCGGTGGGAGGGGAGTCGAGCGCTTTGCAGCTCCTGAGGGGAGGAGCACGGGAGATCGCGCCCTCCCCTCGCAGGCCAGGGGACACCTGGGAATGGCTCCAATGTCGCGATCTTCTATGCGGTACCCTTCCCATTTATCACCCCTGTTGCTAATGGGTGCACTGAGGACCACCGGCCTTTCCTGGTGGCAGCGGCATGAGTCGGCAAGGGATGCAGGGATACCTGCTCCTCCTCTGCCAGAATCGCACTTGGGACAGTGTCCAGCCAGCCATGCCTGCCCTCCCGCACCAGCCCACATGGCCTTTCTTGCGGTATTATTAAAAGCTGCCGGGGGCGTGAGGTAGGCATGTGGGCACAGGGGAGCGATTGGTGGCAGCACTCCTGGCTGGCAAGGGGGCGGATGTCCTGGGGCTGCATGTGGCCACCAGCAGCACCGATAGTAAGCCAGCCAGGAGTGGGAGCAGCGGGGAGGGGAGTGGGGAAAAAAAGGGGGGGGGGGGGGGCACAAAATCAGCAACTTACCAAAAATTATGAAGGCCACAGAAGTCAAGTGAGGAGTCTGGGCAGGCAAGCAAGCAAGCGGCGGCAGTGACAACAAGCAAGGACTGGGAACCAGAGGGCAGTCAAAGAACCATTAGGCAGCGCGTGTGACTCTGGAGGCAGGAGAGGCAGATAGGGTGGGGGCGGGCCAGCCAGTGGGACAAAACAGTTTAGCCCGTCTTTTTGCAAATGGGATGGGGAAGGCAGCGTGATCTAGACCCGAAAATCAGCTGAGAGGCCCGCATGCATGGTGGAGAGGAGTTGGGCTGACCGCTCGCATGCCTGCAGAGGGCTCTGTGCCACCTATGGCACGCGTGCCATAGGGTTGCCATCACAGTTCTAGGGTCTTGGTGAAGATGAGAATGTCATCAAGGTAAACAAGGACCCCCTTGTATAGGTGCTCATATAGCCCTCATTTTAAAGATGGACTTTGTTTATATGGGAGGGAGGGAGGGAGGATATTTTAGTTTATTAACTCAGTAGTAACAGTTATGTGGGAGAAAGCCTGCCTGTACATATATCAAGGATTAAACTTTCAATACACATGCTATCTATAACATTTCTGTGTAAGTGGTGATTTGTGCCAATTAATGAGGCTTGCCAAAGTTTAAGAGAGTGCCATAAAAAGATGTGATGATGATTCCATTCGTTGCAGGCGTGGAGACTCCATCCCTGGTGTTCAAAATTTAGAAAAAAGTAATCCCATGCCTCACTAAGCTCTGCTCAGCTAAAAATATGACAGCTAAGCCAGTGAAACAAGTCATCATAATTTATGATTCTTTATTTCACTAGCAAATTTATATGAACCAAGTTAATAAATGCTTACCTGATTTGGTGTTATTCTCATTTAACTCGCTTTATCATTATAATTTTTCAACACCAGTCCTATTACAGGAAATATTCCCATATTTTAGACTTTGAACCATCTCAGCTCATTGTTGAAGCAAGATTTAGCAAATCCTCTTTCAACAAGAGTTATAAAATGCCATATGCATATAAAATGCCACATGCACCTATCTCTTTTAGCCATTTCTTGTCACCCTATATAATACCTGTGCTTTCATTACTTTTTTTCAGATCTCTCTTGGCCTTCTACATGCTCGTGCTACTCATATACTGTGGCCTCCAGAGCGTTGGCAAAAGTTACAACCCAAGCTTTCTCCAGAACGCCAGCCTCTCCAGCATGACCAGGAATGACTAGTTTGGATCTGTTAGAAAACTTATAATTGAATTTGGTATGGCTGTATGAAATGGCTGGTGCAAATGAAATACTCATTCCTTCTAAAGCAATTCTGTCTTGATTTTAGCATTTCAACCATCCCAAAATTCTACAAGGTTTGAACACTTTAGTATAGTGTCTTAATTTTACAGACAAAGAGATTTGTTTTGCTTTTTTTCCCATTGCAACTTTTAGGTTTTTTTTAATTTTACTATTTGTTTTTTCACAATATAGTAGATGTTACTACTGGATAATAAAATATGATATCAGCATGTAATAGTTTATATATTCTAATTCTTTAGATGGTATAATTGTTTTGAAGGAACAATATTTCTCATGTAAAGAACTGTGCCCTAGAATCAATTTTCCCATAAATACATGTCATTAAATGTTTTTACTTGTTATTACTGTCAAGATTAAATTAATTTGTATTTGCATTGCATTTTAAAAGATAATTAAAATTTCTATTTCTATACCAAAGACTTAGAGTATTTCATTGTCCTATACTAGTAAATAACTTCCACCTTGATATATTATGTGTGGTATTAATGGTACCATGCATGCAAACTTACAAACACATACAAAGATCCCAAATACAAGAAGTTTTTCAGCATGGAGAACTGTAACTATATCACTATAAGAATCAATAATATGGATTAAATGGGATTGTGGTCTGATTTAGGCAGCTGTGTTTTTGTGGAATTTCTCTGTGTCTTTGACCATTGTAATATCGGATACATCACCTTCAACATGGAGATGACAAGATCATGCTAAAATTCACAGGGTTAAGGGAAATTAAACTAATGTACCTTTTCTGATCCTGCATATATAGAGTTGTACACAGTGATTAAAATTCCCCATTTAAAAAAACACAATCTATTTACTATACTATGGAACACTTAGTTTCTTTCTGTAACTAAAAGCACTTTTAATATAATAAATGTATATTCCAGTGACATCAAATACTAGGACATACTTTATACATTCATCTGTAGAATGCTGTATACAGAAACTGCTTTGCCTACAGAATTAAAGCTCCTTGTAAAAGGAGAAACAATGCTACAAGTGGATTGAGAAATGCTTAGACATTTTTGGAATTAGTAACAACATCCAGAAATTTCTGAAGACTTCCGTGAAGCTGATGGCCTATGGACTTGGTGAAGTTAAAATCAAATGAGGAACCTTCCAAGGTGACAACTCATTGTCGCCTCTGTTATTTGTATTTCCAATGATGCCATTTTGAACAAAACAAACTGTGACTAAGAATTGGCTAAAAAAAGAGTTGAAAATTTCCTATTTCCTCTACAGGGATGTTTTAAAATTGGGAAAACAAAACCTGAATTGAGCTCACTGCTGAAAAGCACTGAAAAGATTGAGATATTGAAATGCAATTTGGCATTGACAAATGTGCAACAATTGCTATTAAAGCAATAAAAATGGTTGAAGATGATGGATTCAAACTTGATAATGAAGAGCTGATAAAAGAAGAAACACCAGACAGTACAAGTACTTAGGAATTTTGGAAGCTTCTGAGCTGTTGCACAACCAAGTCAAGAAAGCTACTTCAACAAAATACATAAAGTGAGCTCAGAAAATCTTGAGATCAAAGAGGAAATATTATAAAGGCAACTAACACCTGGGCAGTGCCTGTAATATGACATTCAGCTGGAATAGTTGATTGGACTCATCTAGAACTTGATAACTTGGATTAAAAGATATGGATACTAATGACAATGCACCATTCTCTGCACTCAAAAAGTGATGTTGATTATATAATTGTCCATAAAAGTCTTGGATAATTATCTTTTTCTCCTTGTTACCATAACAAATTTGACCTTTATCATCTATTAACTGTACTATTCTCCTATTATATAAACAGGAGGATTTTGATGAGGAAAGAATTAAGCTTTATCTACAAAATGCTAACCTACCCAAGATACCTGAAGAGACTGAAAAAATGTTAGAAAGTACCATAACAATGATGGAACTAACGGAAGCACTTAATAGGCAGAATAATGGAAAAGCACCAGGCCCAGATGGGCTCCCGGCAGAATTTTATAAAACATTACAAGAATCGTTGAGCATTCCATTGTTAGAAGTTATGAATGAAGCCATGTTAAATAAGAAAATACCTAAAACATGGTCAGAAGCTTATATCACACTTATTCCAAAAGAAGGGGCTGATCCATCACAAATTAAGAACTATAGACCTATTTCTTTACTGAATGCAGATTACAAAATCTTTGCTTCCATCTTGGCAGAAAGGCTCAAAAGATATCTAAATAACTTTATTCATCCTGACCAGAATGGATTCCTGCCAAGGAGACAAATTAGGGATAATATGAGGGTAATTCTGGACACTTTGGAATATTACGAGGCACACCCTGAAAAACAAATGGCTTTGGTATTTTTAGATGCCCAAAAAGCATTTGATAATGTGAATTGGAGATTCATGTTTTTGTTATTGGAACAGATGGGCTTTGCTAGAAAATTTATTCAAGCAATAGAAGCCATATATGACAAACAAACGGCGAGAGTGATGATAGAGGGAGATTTTACAGATTCTATTAATATAAGAAAAGGCACAAGACAAGGTTGCCCATTATCACCTTTGTTATTTGTATTGACTTTGGAAGTGCTGAATAGAAACATTAGAGAGGATCCAAATATAAAAGGAATGAAAATTAAGAAGGAGGAATTTAAATTACAAGCCTTTGCGGATGATTTGGTTTTTATTTTGGAAGATCCTCTAGGAACAGCTTTAAGGCTACTGGAAAAGATAGAGATTTATGGTGAGATGGCCGGTTTGAAAATAAACAAAGATAAAACAAAGATCTTGACAAAGAATATGTTATTAAAACAAAGAGATGAACTGGCAGATTTATCGAAAATTCAAGTTACGAATAAGGTCAAATATTTGGGGATATATTTGACGTCAAGATGTACTACATTGAAAGAGAATAACTATATCAAACTTAAACAACAGATAGCATCTGATTTGAAAAAATGGGAAAATCTACAATTGTCATTGATAGGTAGAATATCAACAATCAAGATGAATATTTTACCCAGAATTTTATATTTATTCCAAACCATACCAATCAGGCTTGGTAAAGATTACTTTGAAGAATTAAATAAAATTGTGTTGAAGTTCATATGGCAAGGTAAGAAAGCCAGAATAAAATTAAAACTCCTGCAAGATGCTAGAATTAGAGGAGGTTTTGGCCTCCCGAATTGGGAGTTGTATTACCAAGCTGCAAATTTAATGTGGGTTAAGGATTGGATAACATTAAGAAAGACTAGATTGTTGACTCTAGAGGGGCATGATTTATTACTGGGATGGCATGCTTTTCTGTGGTATAAGGGAACCAAATCACAGGGCTATTTTAGAAGGCATTATATAAGGGAGTCTTTATGGTTGAATTGGGAGAAAATTAAGAGAAAATGTTATTTGAAAATCCCAGTCTGGTTATCAACTATTGAAGCTTTTTCGTATCCTATAATATATGAGAAGGAACAAACAGTTAGATATGGGGAAATATTGGATGAAAAGAGTGAACTTAAAACAATGCAAAAACTAGAAGAACAAGGCATAAAGATGAATTGGTTTTCATATGCGCAAATACATTCAAGGTATCTTATAGATTCTAAAGTGGAGGGATTTTATGATAAATTGACTGATCTAGACAGGATCTTGACAGGTACTGATGAAAAAATGATTAAAAAAATATACACTTATTTGTTGGAAATTTTATTAGAGGAGGAACAAGTTAAAGAAACGATGATTGTTTGGGGGAAGAATTTTGGATATGGGATTGATTTGGAGAATTGGGAAAAATTGTGGTCTCAAAATTATAAAATGACAATGTCAACAGCTTATAAAGAAAACTTGTATAAGATGTTTTACAGGTGGCATTTTCCCCCGACAAGAATTGCAAGAATGTTTAAGAACAAATCTGAAAAATGTTGGAAATGTCATCAGATACCTGGCTCATACTACCATATGTGGTGGACTTGTGAGGACGCTAGAAAATATTGGACTAAAATACGCATATGGTTGGAAAAAATGACAAAGACACATATAGACTTGAAACCAGAGATTTTTTTATTGGGAATCTTACCGGATATATATAATAAAAATTTGAAGTATCTGATTGTAAATATATTAACAGCGGCTAGGATTGTATTTGCTAAGAACTGGAAGAGTGAGAAAATTCCATCAGAAGAAGAAATTATTAAGAAAATATTGGATTGTGCTGAAATGAGCAAATTGACATTTGAAATCAGAGAACAAGAAGATAAACAATTTTATGAAGTTTGGGATCTTTTTTATCAATGGTTAGATAATAAAACATAATGATAGAATATTCAGATTTAGCATAAAAAAAAATTTTTTTTCTTAATATTATCTTTATAAAACATTATTAAGGTAGATTTGGTATGATCTTATGATTTATTGCAAAATAAATTAAGCAAACTATAGTTATCTCGTTAAAATATGAATTAACAAAATTAAAAATGATTTTTTTTTTTTTAGTGATGATATTAGGTTATACAATTGTTGATTGATAATATGAGCTATTATGTAATATAATTATACTGGTGACTAGGAAATGGATGCACAAAAAAAAGTGGTAAACCAATCGATGCACTGTATGTAAATTTATGAAGAAGGATCTTTTTATGTTTTTTGTGGTATGTTTATGTTTATTTTGTTATGTATGTTTATGTTTATTTTGTTATTAAAAAATAAAAAAAAATTATTAAAAAAAAAGTGATGTTGATTGATTGTACTTGCCAAGATCTCAGGGTGCAGAGATCTCTTACAGGTGATAACAAACTGTGGAAGAGAAAAAATATGCCTTAAATGACTACATTAAAAAAAAGAGACCCTTTGCTGAATGGGGTGAAGAAGGAAAATAAGAACATTGAAAGCAGAATATAGAAAGGAAACACAGGGTGTTTAACTGGAAAAAAGAATCCTATGCACTGTCAATACCTGATGGACATTGAAGAAAAGGAAAATACAAAGCTAACATGGAGCTGGTTGAAATCAGGAGTGCTGAAGAAAGAAACTTGAAGGCCTCATTTTGGCTTGCTCAAGAACAAGCCTTGCAGACCAATTCAATAAAAGCAAAAAATTCAACATGTCAGCAACAACAGCGAATGTCACTTATGCAATGAGAAAGATGAAATAGTAGATAATCTTACTAAGGTGAGTAAGGAGTGTTGGCTGAACAGCCAACGCCAGCAGCTGCAGAACTACTGCAAGAAAAGTGTTTACCTGTCACAAATATACAGTTATTGAAAACAATGAAACAATTATATGTTATTAAGCCCAACAAGAAGAGGATATTTGAAACGAATGTTTTTAATGGAACAAAAAATAGCAGATCAACACTGATTTATAATATGAAATAAAGTATTCACAAAAGCAGAATTGGAAGAACTGCAAAAGTTTGCCCAGGGCAAAAAAAAAACGGAGGGGGGAGGGGTTTGCTGCAAAAAGCAAAACTCCAAGCCCAAACCGGTAGTAAAATTTTTTGAATCCCACCACTTGGTGAGACTACCATAGAGATTACTGAGCGCAAGTCCCAGAGTGGGACGCTCTGGCTGCTTGTATCGGAAAAGCTCTTACGGTGTTTGAGCTTTGCAGCTCGGCCCACCTACCATAGAGATTACTGAGCGCAAGTCCCAGAGTGGACGCTCTGGCTGGTTGTGTCGGAAAAGCTCTTACGGTGTTTGGGCTTTGCAGCTCGGCCCACCTACCATAGAGATTACTCAGCGCAAGTCCCAGAGTGGGACGCTCTGGCTGCTTGTGTCGGAAAAGCTCTTACGGTGTTTGGGCTTTGCAGGAAGAGTCCCGAAAGGAAATTAGGAACTGCGACTGTAATTGGTATGGAAAGGGAAAGTGGGGC